TATCTCGAGGACCTGCGGCTGCAAGTCGACAAGCATCTCCCCCTATCTCCCCCTATCTCCCCCTATCTCCCCTGATCTCCCCCTATCTCCCCCTATCTCCCCCTATCTCCCCCATATCTCGAGGACCTGCGGCTGCCAGTCGACAAGCCATGTCGACCAAGCTCCCCCTATCTCCCCCTATCTCCCCCTATCTCCCCCTATCTCCCCCTATCTCCCCCTATCTCCCCCTATCTCCCCCTATCTCCCCCATATCCGCCGACGGGTTGAGGGGGGCGAGCGGACGGCGGACTAGGGGAGTACACCTCTTCCATGAGTGAGTGGTAGGTCGCCTCGCCGCCGACGCCGAAGGGGCAGCGCGCCTCGAAGGGCGTCAAGGTGCCGAGAGAGGGGGAGGGGTGGCCGAGAGAGGGGGAGAGAGGGGGGGGAGAGCGCGCCTCGAAGGGCGTCAAGGTGCCGCTGCACGCGAGGGCCCTCCCTTCCCTTCCCCTCTCGCACAGACCCGTCCTCTCACAATGACTGATGCATCCATTGACCGCCCTGCCTGCTCTTCCGGCAAGGTGGTGCCGCTGCACGACGGCCCGAGCGAGTCGGTCGCCGACGTGCAGGTACTCTCGGGGAATCTCGGGGAATCTCGGGGAATCTCGGGGAATCTCGGGGAATCTCGGGGAATCTCGGGGAATCTCGGGGAATCTCGGGGAATCTCGGGGAATCTCGGGTGTTGAGCGAGTCGGACGCCGACGTGCAGCCGGCGCTCCACATGCTGCTAGACCTCCCCCTATCTCGGCTCGATCTCCCCCATGCTCCACATGCTGCTAGACCTCCCCCTATCTCGGCTCGATCTCCCCCATGCTCCACATGCTGCTAGACCTCCCCCTATCTCGGCTCGATCTCCCCCATCTCTCGCGCAGGCCAAGCTCAACATGCTAACGGCGCACAATGAGGAGCTGAGTGGGAGGCACGCACCGCCTAGACGCGGAAGATCTCCCCCTCTCTCCCCCCCGTCTCTCCCCTCACCTGGCAGCACGGCGCCTAGACGCGGAAGATCTCCCCCTCTCTCTCCCCCTGTATCTCCCCGCACCTGGCAGCACGGCGCCTAGACGCGGAAGATCTCCCCCTCTCTCCCCCCCGTCTCTCCCCGCACCTGGCAGCACGGCGCCTAGACGCGGAAGATCTCCCCCTCTCTCCCCCCCGTCTCTCCCCGCACCTGGCAGCACGGCGCCTAGACGCGGAAGATCTCCCCCTCTCTCTCCCCCCGTCTCTCCCCGCACCTGGCAGCACGGCGCCTAGACGCGGAAGATCTCCCCCTCTCTCCCCCCCCGTCTCTCCCCGCACCTGGCAGCACGGCGCCTAGACGCGGAAGATCTCCCCCTCTCTCCCCCCCGTCTCTCCCCGCACCTGGCAGCACGGCGCCTAGACGCGGAAGATCTCCCCCTCTCTCTCCCCCCGTCTCTCCCCGCACCTGGCAGCACGGCGCCTAGACGCGGAAGATCTCCCCCTCTCTCCCCCCCGTCTCTCCCCGCACCTGGCAGCACGGCGCCTAGACGCGGAAGATCTCCCCCTCCCTCTCCCCCCGTATCTCCCCGTATCTCGGGCCCAGCGGCTAGAGACGCCGTCTGGTCTCCAAGCCCGCCCTCGAGAGAGACACGCACGCAAACTGTACTCGACCGTACTTACTCCGCTGCAGTGTTCGCACCCCCCGTTAGCCACGCGCCGCTCTGAGGACACGCCGCACAACACCGCACACCCCCCGCCCTGAGGCTGGCGTACCCACCTCGCAGGCTGCCCCTCTCTCCCCATCTCTCCCCATATCTCCGCATATCTCCCGCCCTGAGGCTGGCGTACCCACCTCGCAGGCTGCCCATCTCTCCCCATCTCTCCCCATATCTCCGCATATCTCCCGCCCTGAGGCTGGCGTACCCACCTCGCAGGCTGCCCATCTCTCCCCATCTCTCCCCATCTCTCCCCATCTCTCCCCACCTCTCCCCACCTCTCCCCATCTCTCCCCACCTCTCTCCCCATCTCTCCCCATCTCTCCCCATCTCTCCCCACCTCTCCCCACCTCTCCCCATCTCACCCCATCTCTCCCCATCTCACCCCATCTCTCCCCACCTCTCCCCATCCCCACCTCTCCCCATCTCTCGCAGGCAAGCGACCGTGCCGGAGCTCGACAAGCTGCTCGCAAAGATCGGCGAGCTCGGCTGCCCCCCGATGCGCCAGTTCTCGCTGACGAACCGCACGTCCGTCATCAAGGAGCGCGTGTCTCCCCCCATCTCTCCCCCCCCCCCCCCCCCCCTCCCTTTCCGGCGGCGGCGTGCCGCTCAGGACGAGGACTCTCCCCATCTCTCCCCACATCTCCCCATATCTCCCCACATCTCCCCATATCTCCCCACATCTCCCCATCTCAGGAGGGCCCGCAGACCGAGTTCATCTCTCCCCATCCCTCCCCATCTCTCCCCGCATCAGGACATGACTCTCATCCTCGGGATGGTCTGGTCCCTCATCCTTCGCTACAACGTCGCCGACATCTCGGAGGGCGACAAGACGGCCAAGGAAGGACTCCTGCTCTGGGCAAAGACCAAGGCGGCCGACCGCAGCGCCGTCTAGACGGCCCCGTCGGGGGGGGGGGGAGAGGCGGCGTCTCTTCACGGCGGGGTGGGTGTGAACAGGTGGAGGAGGTGTCCAAGGGCGAGGTCAAGGTCTGCCCCCCCCCCACCCCCTTCCCAGGTGGCCGAGATCGACGGCTACCGCGAGTCGCTCGAGGCGCTGCAGTGCGACCTCGACGCCATCGCAGCCTACGCCGAGGAGATGGGGTCGATGCGGATCAGCCGCAACCCGTACTCGCGCTTCGGCATGCCGGACCTCCTCGCGCACATGAGCCGGTGCGAGGCGGCGCTCGAGGCGAGGCAGGTGTCGGTGCAGGAGGCGCTCGCGCACCAGCAGCAGATCGACGCGACCAAAAAGGCGTTCGCGGCGGCGGCGGACGCGATCCTCGAGTTCGTCAAGGCGGAGCGCGCACAGCTGGACGAGGTCGCGCCGCCCGGGCTGGTCATCCAGCCCGACGACACGGCGGCGATCGAGAAGGGCAAGGCGATGGGGAGTGCGCTGGACGCGCTGATGGCGCCGGACGCCAAGGAGGGGCGCGACGCGAAGCTGCTGCCGGCGCAGGAGCTGTCCGACAAGCTGATGGAGGCCGCGGAGCTGGACAACCCGTACACGGCGCAGACGATCATGACGCTCAAGACGCAGATCGACCTCCTCGACAAGGTGCTGTGAATAGAAGAGCTGTGAATAGAACAGCTGTGAATAGAACAGATCGACCTCCTCGACAAGGTGCGGAGATATGGGGAGATATGGGGAGATATGGGGAGATATGGGCAGATCGACCTCCTCGACAAGGTGCGCCGTCGCGGCAGCCGGTAGTACGGCGCCTGTTCACAGCTGGAGGTGTGAAGAGGCGCCGTCGCGGCAGCCGGTAGTACGGCGCCTGTTCACAGCTGGAGGTGTGAAGAGGCGCCGTCGCGGCAGCCGGTAGTACGGCGCCTGTTCACAGCTGGATGTGTGAAGAGACGCTGTTCACAGCAGCCGGTCCTCGACGCGTCGAGGGGCAGCTCCTCCATGGGGAGATATGGGGAGATATGGGGAGATACGAGGAGATATGGGCAGCTCCTCCATGAGGGGGGCCCTTCCGAGCCCGTCAGGCGCCCCTTGTCAGGTGCTGCGCGACAAGCGGTCCTTTGTCGAGGGGCAGCTCGCGCGCGCTCAGGCGGGAGATAGAGGGAGATAGGGGGAGATAGGGGGAGATAGCGGTCCTTCGTCGAGGGGCAGCTCGCGCGCGCTCAGGCGGAGACACTTCCTAGACACTTCCTAGACACTTCCTAGACACTTCCTTCGTCGAGGGGCAGCTCGCGCGCGCTCAGGCGGAGACACTTCCTAGACACTTCCTAGACACTTCCTAGACACTTCCTTCGTCGAGGGGCAGCTCGCGCGCGCTCAGGCGGAGATAGAGGGAGATAGGGGGAGATAGGGGGAGATAGCGGTCCTTCGCCGAGGGGCAGCTCGCGCGCGCTCAGGCGGAGATCACGAGCGAGCAGTACGAGGAGATCAAGAAGGTCTTCTACCACTTCGACAAGTCCAAGGACGGGCTGCTCCTATTCACAGCTGTTCTATTCACAGCTCTTCTATTCACAGCTCTTCTATTCACAGGACGGGCTGCTCAACCAGCTCGAGTTTGCGGCCGCCATCAAGGCGATGGACTTCGAGATAGCGGACCACGAGCAGGAGCCGACTTTCCTCCGGTTCGCCAAAGAGGGGCAGCGCGCCGAGGAGCCGGCGGCGATGACCATCGACCTGAGCGGCTTCACCACCTTCGTGCTCCAGCAGTACAAGGACAACGACACCAAGGACACCCTCTTCGCGGCCTTCGAGACGGCACGCCGACGGCGACGGCGCGCCGCGACACCGCCCAAGGCGCCGGCCCTCACGCCGAGGCTGGGCGAGAGTAGGTTGCAAACGGCAAGGACACGCTGTCCGCCGAGGACATCCGTGCGGCGATCCCGCAGGAGGAGGCGAGCCGCACGGGCTAGCCGAGAGGAGTTTGCCCCAGAGTAGTTGGCGGCCCGCAGGAGGCGAGCGAGCACTGCTGCTGCAAGAGACGGGCGCTGCGACCCTTCCCCCCCCCCCCCTCCCCCCGTGCGGCGGGCAGGCGGACTACCTGCTCTCGCAGCTCGAGCTGAAGGACGGCGACCACGGCCTCGAGTACAAAAAGTTCACAGAGGCCATCTACGGCGGCACCTGAGGGGAGGGGGGGAGAGCAGGCCCACACGGCAGCATGTGCATTAGACAAGGGCGTCGGCCCACCCCTCCCCCCCGCTCCCCGCTCTCCGCCACTCCTCTGCTCTGCCAGGGAGCGTGCGGCTGGGGACGGGCGCGGTGGCGTAGCAGTCTTGTGGAGCGTATTGCGTCGAGCCAGCGGCGCAGGCTGCTGCGGCGACCGCCGCTCCGCCGCACGGAGGCGCACGCATTTCCGCGTGATCGGTCGGTGTCACGAGGGAGAGAGCAAGCTAGACGAGCCTTTGTGTACAAACAATGTGTTTTTCGAGCGCCGCCGCAGGGGGGTGCTCTCAAAAAAGAACTCATGGAATCGCCCCCGTGCTGGCGACTCTGGGGGGAGGCGGGGGCCCCCGCCGCGCAGCAGTGCGGAAACGGGGGGAGCACGCGGGAGCTCCGGCTCTACTAGTCTCTACTAGCACCGACTTCCCGAATGATTACGGTTGATTAGAGGGAAGATTTGGAGAGATCTCGAGGAGTGCATACAGATAGACCCTCCAACCATCAGAAAACTCCGACCTGATCGGTCGTACTGACCGCCGACAGATCACTCCAGACAGCAGACAGGCCGACGTCTGCACACGCGGCCGGCCGGGCGAGAGGCTTGACACGATCCGACCCTGCGACCCTGACGCTGCTGCTCTAGCTATCAGACATGCACTGCTGACTGCTGCCACAATGTGCGACCTGTGCTGGCCCACTTGGCGGCCTTCCCGGTCAGTGGTGAGGCGCAGTTCAGAGCTGTCGATGGCGCGATGCCGCACTGGTCCCACATTGGTGACACGAGACCACCAAGTTTGCCGGTCCAAGAGAGAGGCACCGGCGCTCTCCTGAGAAAGTGCATGGTCCCTCTTGACTGCCCATGCGCGCGAGGCTGTGTAGGCATAGCCTCGAGAGTGCCAGCAGCCAGTCGCCGAGGCAGTTTGTGACGCGCATTGCGTCAGAAGCGTGCACGCGCTGGAAGGACACCTTCCTACTGGCCGTACGATCAGGTCGTCACTGAATGGTGGATACTAAGGCCGCGAGCTATGCAGGTGGTCAATTGTGCAGCATGGCACGGTCAGCAGCGCCGACAGGCTGTCGCAAGGCGTGTTACTGGTAAATCGTGAGTGGTATTGACCACTTATTTGTTCTCCTAGATGGTATGGTATGAGCAGAGAGTGGTATGGTAAATTACGAAACTCCGTGGAATCATCAAATTTTCGGGATCTGAGCCGAGTCTGAGGCTGGTTTGCGGCCAAATTCAGCGCCAAATTGGCAAAATACCGGGTATTTTGCGGGTATACCTGGGAAATTTATACTTGAAAAATAAGTATTTTGCCGATTTTTCCGATTTTTGTCAGATTTTGCCTCAGAAGTCGTGGTAAATCTTACCTCGATTTTTGAGGGGTTCTGTGAGAGCGGCTCTTTATGTGGCGCGCGATGGTCCGCGGCTACAGTGCCTACTATTTATCTCAATCTGATTATAACATCGATCTTCTGAGCGATTCTAAGATCAGGTCTGCCACCTCCCCACTGAAAACGAAAATCTAAGTTTCAAATCTCGAATAAATCTCGAAACCCACTTGAATGCTCACTGTTGCTTTTGGAATGAGCGAGCGACAGCGAGCCGCCCCCCCCTCGGAACACCAATCTAAAAGAACTCGCTCCGCCAAACACACGGCAAAAGCACGCTCCAAACAAAATCGCTAGTGAACACACAACTCATGCGTCGGCTCGCGTACTGAACAAAGGATCACAGCAGAACTCCCTCGCACGACACACACTGACTGGCACTAATGAACAAAGAAAGGACACAAAGGGTGAGGGAGCGAGCGGAGGGCGTTACAGGGAAGGCATGTCTAAAGGAGCGGCGCGTTGCGCAACCCCTCGCGGAGAACGTTGCGTGGGCGACGTCCCTCACGGGCGAGATCCCTCACGGGCGACGTCCCTCACGGGCGACGTCCCTCACGGGCGACGGCGACGTCCCTATCCCTAATGAGCGACATCCCTCACGGGCGACGTCCCTCACGGGCAAGATCCCTCACGGGCGAGATCCCTCACGGGCGACGTCCCTCACGGGCGACGTCCCTCACGGGCGAGATCCCTCACGGGCGACGTCCCTCACGGGCGACGTCCCTCACGGGCGAGATCCCTCACGGGCAAGAGCCCTCACGGGCAAGAGCCCTCACGGGCGACGCTCACGGGCGACGTCCCTCACGGGCGAGATCCCGGGCGAGATCCCTCACGGGCGAGATCCCTCACGGGCAAGATCCCTCACGGGCGACGTCCCTCACGGGCGACGTCCCTCACGGGCGACGTCCCTCACGCTTGGCAGGTACATATGCGCCACGCGCCCCAACCGCTCCTCTGGTCGCCGCCGGCCTCCGCGCATGTGGTGCATTTGCGCCGCTGGTACAGTGTGCTGTGCCGGATTGGCTTGCCATTCGTCCGGTTGCCAAGCACCATCTCCCACTGCGGCCGATCCCTGGTGTAGTAGTACATCGCGATCGAGCGCCGGCTCCGGTGCGGCGGGCATGCGAGCGGGTCCGCGTGGCCGTGATAGCTATAGTCCGTCGATGAGAAGACAACGAGCCGGTTGCGCACAGGCGCGATCCGGGCCTCACACTGGGTCATCGGCCGGTTCCACAGCTCGAGCTCCCCGCCCCACGCATCGTCCCAGTCGTGGTTCAGGAAGAGGAAGACGTTGACGCGGCGCTCAAGCCGCAGCTGTCGGTGCGAGTTGAAGTCGGCGTGGATCTGAAGAGAGCCGTTTCTCAGGATCTGGTGCAGCCCGGCACCAAAGAGGGTCGGGTCCACGATGAGCGGGCTGATCCCAGTGAGCGCTTCGAGGAAGGCGAGGAAGGGTGGGCTCTGCATCGCATGCACGACACCGCGAAGGTGTGGGCCCATCAGCTTGGGTTTGGAGTTTGCGATCTTGAGCCAACCGCCTTCTTTTTCGGCAAAGCACTTCCAACCACGCGCCTGTGCTGCATTGCAAGCCTCTGGACCCGCATCCAGCGCGTCCGGAAACTCGCGATCGATCGCCTCGAAGAGGCTCTCTGGGAACAGTCCATCGACATTTGATTGTTTTGGGCGCTACCAGTAAATCGCCAGCACTAAAACGGATGGGTGGCAGCGAAGGACGGCGATTATGCCGACGCCCTCGCCAAGGGCCACACGGTCATCCTCCTCGTGACCGAGTCGACCGGAGCATTCTCCGCCGACCTCGATCGCGTCCTCCGCCAGCTTGCGAGGACCGCACGCGCCAGTGGGTCCATTGACCACACGCCGTATGGCACCTCTCGCGCGTCCACCCGCTCACACTACACCTTCCACTCCGCCGCCATCTCCGCCGCCATCGTCACCGCCGACGCCCTCACCATTCAGAACTCGGCCGCCGCCCTCGGCTTCGAGCTCACCCTCGACCCTCGCGATCTCGCCCGGCGCTCGACGTCGGGTCGGCCGCCATTGCGGTCGGCGCCACCACCTCCTCCCGCCCCCCCCGCAGCCACTGCCGCGCGGCCGCCAATGCGACCGACCCCACCCTCCTTCCCCGACCCCGCCCTAAACGCCCCCGACAGCGAAGCCCGCGCCGCGCGCGGCACCCCCACCGACTCTACCTCCGACCCCAGGGCCTAGGCGGCCCGCCATGAAATCTAGCCGTGTGTGCTGGCGTCCGGGTCCCAGCGGGTTTTCACGTAACAAGTACACACTAAAACGCCGCGCGCGCGTAGAGTAGCGGGCGGCGGGCCTGGAGAGCAGTCTCTGTATATCGGATTTTTCTACTTTTTTGTGGGGTTTCAACTATCATGTTTGAGCCATGTCGTGCACACTTGCACATGGTTACAAAGAGAGAGAGAATGGTACGCAAACATCGTGACACCCCGCGTCTGCGGCCTCGCTCTCGTTCTCCTTCTCTATAGTCTATTTCGCGGCTGCTGTGGCCGGTGCATCGCGGCGACCGGGAAAGGGTATAGCGTAATCCGTAAAGCTACCGTACGTACGTAAACTGTACATCGAGGCCGGCGGAGGCGGGAAGCGGCATGGAGATGCACGGCTCAGCGCAGGCGAGCACCCAGCGCCGCCCCGGCAGCGAAGGCGAGCAAGCCGAGGCCCGCGGCCTCCATCCCGGAAATGGCGCGCGGCGGCGGTGGCGGCAGGAGCACCACGGGCGGCGGCGCGGCGGCGGGCGCACTGTCTCGAGCCCGCGGCATCGCGTCGAGCACCTGGAGCACCGCGTCCGAGGAGGCGATGGCGCCAAAGACTGCGGGGGAGGGGGGGGGGGGGAGTGGCGGGCGGGCGGCGGGCGGGCGGGCGGCGGCGGCGGCGGGGGGGGGGGGGGGGGGGAAAACTCAAAAACCCATCTCCCCCCACCTCCCCGGATTTCCCCCTTGGACCCCCCCCCACAGCCCCCCACAGGATGCTCACAATCCACCCCTTCTCGCTACTCCAGCAAACGGGGGGGGGGTGGAAGCGGCAGCAGCGCATCTCCCCACACCTCCCCGTATCTCCCCATCGCACCTCCGCCCTGCATCGTCACCATCTTGTGTGCCGCTGCGTGGTTGCCTAGTGATGCATCATGGCGTTGTGCACAGCATCTGTGAGTCAAATGCGTCGTCGCCCTCCTGTGCCGCTGCGTGGCTGCCTCTGTCGGTCGCGCCCGTGCCGTCTGTGATGAGGCAGCACTCGAATCCGCGGTCGTTTGCCTTTTCACAGACGCAAGTGTATGAACAGGTGCGCCGGCGCTACAGGCAGCACTCAAAGCCGCGGGTCGTTTGCCTCGCGCATCGTGGTGTGCACGCACACGTCCGTCGTGATGCCGCCGAGCAGCAGCCGCTGGCAGCCTGTCCACGCGTGGAGCTGTGAAGAGGCGCTGTTCACAGGTGAGTCGGCGAGCAACGGCCTCGGGTGGCAGCACGCTGTTTTGTGGGGGCGTGCCTGTAGCACTCCAAGTGTCGTGTCTGCACCAGCGAACCCACCCTCCTGGCAAGTTTCTCTAGACTGTCTTTACGCAATGCCCCCTAGGCCCGGCGCCTGTCGTGCGCAGCAGGTGCTCGAGGTCGGTGGCAAAGAAGGAGCCCTTGCCGGGCTTGTCGATGATATCCTCGCTCGGCAGCGGCCTGAGCTCGTCGATCAGCTCCCAGCCCGGCTCGCCGCGCACCAGCACCCGACCGCACGGCCCGGGCTGCCCGATCTCGGTGCCGATCGCTGTCGACCGCAGCCGCTTGTTCTGCGGGAGGTCAGCCAGACTCGGCCGATGGCCCTCTCGCGTGTGGATGACGCGCACGCCCGCGGCACGAGCCGCCGCCAGCACGCGCTGTAACGGCTTGATGGGAGCACGCGTGGCGGAGATATCGTAGCCCATTCGGTCGACGTAGCCTCCCTTGCCGCAGAAGTCGTGCTGCATGTCGATGAGGACCAGCGCCGTCGTAGAGGCGTCGAGCGGGCCGCCGCACGGCCAGGAGTAGGGCTGGGATCGCAACATCGTTCCTCTGCTACTACTCCTCTACTCGAGTACCCCCTGTATCGGGGTTATGGGGGGTTTACGAGGTGTGAACGTGAACAGAGTAGCCAGATCGCTGTCGATCGTTACGGCACGCATGGGGGGCCTCCCGGACGTATGATCCTAGCCCAATAAGCTCCACGGAGCAGATTTGGATTTTTGACAGAATTAAATGCACTGCCCCCGCTCGGTACTAATAGTCGTAGTTTTGGGGGCGGCGCCCCTCACGGCACCACACTGACGCCGGACAGCCCGAGATTAGCCTAGCAGTGAGTGGGAATCGCCTGCCGGTCGGCTTGGCACGAGCCAAGCACTTGGGCGGCCGTCAACCGAGTCCGAGCGGCGCCTGAGGTGGGTGCCACGGCGTCCGCACGAAGGCGTGGCGGGGTGAGGAGCCAGCGGTGGTGAACACCTCCCTGACGGGCGCGCGGCGCGCCGGATGGTCCGCCGAGGCCGCCGCCGCCCCGGCGGCGGCGATGGGGGCGGCGGGGCCGACCCGGCCGGCGTTTGTCGGCTCCACCTACAGAAGAGCAGTCTCTGTGGGTCGACGATACTAACTCGGTAGTAACGCTGAGCGGTGCTGTGCGACGCCGCGTCGTGCGCGAGGCGACCTCCTGGGGCTACCTGGGCTGGCAATGGATGCCACCAGGACGCACGGCTAGCAGGAGCCAGTCGGGCATGCCCTGCTGTGGAGCAGAGCCTGCTGGCGCACCGGCGATACTAACTCAGCGCGCCGCGAGAGGCAAATCTGGGCGACTTTGGAGGCGCAGTTCTCGAGCTTGCCGTCGACGATTGATGTCGGGTAAATTGTCACTGCCGTCCGGGAAGGTCTTCTCTCAGCAGGCCGAGCGCCGTGGCATCGCGCTGCTCGCAGCGCTGTCGCGGCGCCGAGAACCCCCAAAACTCGCGAGACCTCGATACTAACAAAGACTACGACACTGGGGGTACCCGTAGCTGCCCGTTCCCCCAGCTGGTGCCCCCCCCCCCCCCGCCACTGCCTTGCGTTGGCTCTGTAAAAAAAAGCCTCGGTTTCCAGCTGGTTTGGGTTCTGCATATAGGTAGGTCATCTCTCCCGTGTGTCTGTCTCGCGTCCACCCATACCGCGTTGGTGTTGTCCAGTCCGAGCCTGGCTGGCTGGCTGTTCTTCACCTTCCTACAGCTGGTACTTCTTGCTCCCTTGCTGCTTCGGGCGGTAGCAGACGCCTTTGTAGCCGGTGTTGCTGCTGCTACTGGCGGTGAGGGTGAGATGCGTATGCGTGATACGTAAGGGCTGGGATCGCAACATCGTTCCCCCCTCCCCCCCCCCTCCCCCCTTCCCCTACTGCCTTGCGTTGGCTCCTTGGCTCTGGAGCCTTGGGTTGGGCTCTGTACCGGGTACCCCGAGCCTGGTTGGGTTTTTTATATGTAGGTACTCGAGTAGGTCATTTCTCCCGTGTGTCTGTCTCGCGTCCACCCATACCGCGTTGGTGTCCAGTCCGAGCCTGGCTGTTCTTCATTCACCTTCCTCCATACATACACACATACATACATCGGCTTTAGGTTTGTTGTTAGCCGCTAGCCCTATCTCGCACTCATGGGTGATGACAATTCATTGGATGAGTGTTCGCGAGCAGAAGCCTGTTTGGCCCTGTACCCCAGCCTTGGGGTTATATTATTCCAGGGGGCGACCCCTCCGGGGAGGCCGGCTTTCCCCGTGCCGGTTCTCCCCAACCAACCCCGCCGGCAGCGCGAGCTGCCGGCCACATTGAGCGGTTCGTCCGCGTCGCGCACTCGTCCCAACCGGGGGCCGCAGACTCGTTCCGCGCGCCAACGTCTAGGGTACCATACTTGACCCCCCCCCCTTGGCGCCACGTGTCTTTTCGTGCCAAACCAGCGCGATCTCGGCGGGGCGTCAGCGCCTATCGGAGGGGCATCATGCGCTCCCGGGGCCGCCCGACGGCGCGGGCCTCTTGCCGATGGACCCAGCCGAGGTGCCCGACCAGTCGGAGTGGCGCTGACGCGCCGCGCGCGACCACCAGCCAGCTTTCCGGCCGGGCCGAGAACGGTGTGTCGAGAAAGTAGACACTCCAAACAGTTGCCGAGTTTTTTGCCTCTTTTTGAGCGATGCTGCTGCACACCCAGCCCACCAGTGATACTAGAAGCACCAGATTTACCCCGTCGCGAGCTTGACCGTCACCCCGGTGACCGCCCACAGGTGGCTGATCGCGGCCGCCGCTCACGCTGCTTTTCGGCGCCTGGCTCTCAGAGGGCCCCTGCGGCTCTCTCTCGTCGCGTGACCGCCGCCGACATCATGTGCTCGGTCGTCCCCGCCGGCGCGGAGCTGCGCCACGTCGAATTGTTCGGTCACTCGACCGCCGGCGCGCCCGCCGGCTCACCTCTCGCGCCGCCCCTTCGCACAAAGCCCGCTCACGCCGCACGTACTCAGCCATCGGCGCGACATCACCCCCGCGCAGGCACCTCGCGACGGGTCGACGCACTCGTGCGGCTCAACGCAGAACTACGGAGCGACCTCCGCCGCGGCTCGGCGCTGCCCATGGCAGCAACAGGTGCCGCCCCACCACCCGCCTGCTGCCTCTGCCTCTCTCAGCCATGCGACCCCTCCGCCAATGCACACCTCGAACGCGACGTCAGATCCCGCTGCGACTGGCAACAGTCGCGGCGATGAGGCCTCCGCCAGCACTGATCGTCACAACTCGTCTGTTACGCTACACGTTTTTGCCCTGTGCAGGTGAGCGGACCGCTGCAGCCGCAGTGGAGCCGCGGGTCGGGCGAGGGAATGGCCTTTTGGCGCGGCGCTGCTATGTGCCTGCGCGCTCATGGCGCGTTCAGGGGTGCGCCTGCGGTGTGTAGACTGCGGGGCGCCGCGATAGCGCGGCGCCGACGATTGTGTCGCTCATTGTCACACCGTCGACACGGTCACAGTGTGTGTGCAGTGCGTCCACTCCGGCGACCGTGACGCCGTCGGCGCTCGCCTATACCGGCTAGTGTGGAGCTCTCAGTGTGGTTGCGTGTTGTACTAGTGGTGCTGCACTAGGCGGCCCGTTTTTAGCAAAAAGCAGATACCACATCGCGTGTGGTCGTCGAAAAACCGCATGTTCGCCCGTCTGGGACCTCTTCGTACGGCTCCAAAAACCGCTCCTTAACGACGACTACGCGGCCCGGCGGTCGATCTGCGCCTTCTCAGCGGTGGAGGGGATGTGGTCGGTACGTGCGGACCGCGTGGTGCTGCGATGGCTTGACGAGTGCGACTCCCAGCGTCGACTTTTCGACCCCACGGAGCCTCTGCTGCTCCGGGGGGGGGGGGTCTGCAGACCACCCGGCCGAACTTCAGAGTCGCGGTGCTCCTCAAATACCGCTCAAACGCCCCCGATGTTGTGGAGGGGACATATGCTGATGATCCTGGCCCGATTGGTTCGCGCAGAAAGCTTCTGTGCGGTCGTTAAGGTTCGCTCCCCGCACACCGGCCCGGAAGTATGGTACCCTAGAAACGGCTGGTGACGCTGTGTTGCCCTTGAGCTAGTCCTTCCCCGGTCGCCTAGCCTCTGCGCTGTCTGGCGAACGCCTGTATGCCATGCGCGCGGACCACGCTTGCGTGGATACGTGGCTGGCAGGCTGACCCGTGTGCGGAGTAACCCGCGCACGGGGACACTTCACGGGTTCGAGTCGTCAAACATTAAGCAGCGGAGGTGTGCCGAGGGGGACCGGGAGGCGGTAAGTCGTCGTCGCCCGGCGCTGCTTGCAGCACCATGGCGAGGACGCTAAGAGGTTCCTCTTTTCCGCGCCCCCCCCTCAAGGCGCGCGATACACATTGAGCTTAGCCTTCGATGTTATGAAACAAACGCAAGGCGGACATGGCATATCGCTCTCGGGCCCACAGACATCCCGCACACCCGCCGCCCCCCGCGCGCGCCCCACCCCGGCCGGGAGAAAGGGAAGTGACAGCTTGGGATGGCAACAGAACGAGTATCTTGCACTCCATGTGCGAGGACCCGGACCAGAGGCCCGGCGTGATGATCTCGCACGAAATAAATAAAACGGACACCACCCCAGGAGATGAGTAAAAAGGAACACTCAGGTCCCCGCCGTCCCCGCGCGGGACCCCGCGCCCGTGCGGGGCTCGTTTTGAGGGTTTGTCACGAGGGGGCCAGGCTGGGGACCAGGGCTCGTTGTGTGTGTCAAACTGTGGGTGTCGGGTTCGGCCGCGACTAGCCGGGGGGGCACTTGGAGCACTTGGAGTGCAGTCGGTAACCTCACATCCAGGGCCGGGGAGCTAAGAAGCGCACCCAGCGGGCCGGATGATCGGCATCGGGCTACGGGCTAGAGAGCCCTGACCCCTAGGGGGGTGCGCGTTCGCAGGGAATAAATAAAAACGGACACCTCTCTACTAAAAACGGACATCTCCCTCAATAAAACGCACATCTTACTAGGAGAGTAAAAAGGAATAAAAAATAAAATCATGAAAGTTCATAAAAAAGAGATACCGTCCACCACACACCACTCACACCAGGGATTGCTCACCTCAGTGGAGGGTGCCTCGCGCAACCGAGGGGGAGGGGAGAGAGGGGGGGCGGGGGGTAGCTGCCCAGTTTTTCTTCTAAGCAACCATAAGGGGCATGGCGCGAGACGCGAGAGAGACCGCGTATATGACTTATGAGAGTACACGGCTGTTCCCCTGTTGTACACGCCGGTCCGGCGGTCCGCGATCGCCGCGCACGCCGCGTCCCGCGCCGCGCGCCGGCGCCTCCCTGTCCCGATTTTGCACATCACAAGGCCCGAGATCGGCCCCATAAACAGGGTTGCCAAAGAAGCAAGCGAGCCCCGCTCCCGTCTCGGCTCAGCCGGTCGCGGTCGCGGTCATGCGTCCAGCTCCAGGGAGAGGCAGAGCGTGGATAGCGTCCGCGGGATCCGCCGCGCAATGGGGAAGCAGGCTGCCCACCACGGCCGCCGCACGGGCTTCACCGGCTCGCGGCTCCGGAGCGAGAGGGAGAGGGTAGCCGAAATAAATATAAAACGGACACCTCTACTGCGCGAAAAACATGCGCGCTTCAGGCCCACGCCTCGATCTTCTTGGGCAGCAGCTGGTTGGACACGTCCTCTCCGTGTCCTAGGCAGGCGTCTTCGCCCTTGCCCCAGGTAAAGACAGCGCTGTCGGCGATGAGGGAGAGGCTATGGTACTCTCCAGCCGACACGGCAACGACGCGCTGGCCAGCCAAAGCCTCGATCTTCTTCGGCAGCTGCTGCAGTTGCTCGTCGCCGTGGCCCAGTCGGCCATCCTCTCCAAGCCCCCAGCTCCAGACGGCGCCGTCGGCGGTGAGGGCGAGGCTGTGAGACAGTCCAGCCGACACAGCGACGACGCGCTGGTCAGCAAAGGCCTCGATCTTCTTCGGCAGCAGCTGGCGCCGCTCGTCGCCATGGCCCAACCTACCATAGGTTCCCTGGCCCCAGCTCCAGACCTCTCCGTCGGCGGTGAGGGCGAGGCTGTGTTCGCCTCCAGCCGACACGGCGACGACACGCCGGCCAGTCAAGGCCTCGATCTCCTTGGGCAGCAGCTGCTCCTGCAGGTTGCCGTGGCCCAACTTGCCATAGTCTCCATCGCCCCAGCTCCAGATGGCGCCGTCGGCGGTGATGGCGAGGCTGTGGTACTGTCCAGCCGACACAGTGACGACGCGCTGGCCAGCCAACGCCTCGACCTTCTTCGGCAGCAGCTGGCCCTGCTGGTCGCCGTGGCCCAGCTGGCCAAAGCCTCCATAGCCCCAGCTCCAGACAGCGCCGTCGGCGGTGATGGTGATGCTGTGGTAAGCTCCAGCCGACACAGCGACGACGCGCTGGCCAGCAAAGGCCTCGATCTTCTTCGGCAGCAGCTGGTCCTGCTCGTCGCCGTGGCCCAGCTGGCCAGAGCCTCCATCGCCCCAGCTCCAGACGGAGCCGTCGGCAGCGAGGGCGAGGCTGTGGAAATCTCCAGCCGACACGCTCACAGCACGCTCGCCGCCCAGGGGAGAAGGGAGGCGGGTCAGCGTGTTGAGCTGCGTCACTTCATCGCCGTGGCCCAGCAACCCTGGAGCGTAGGACGGCGCTGAGCCGCACGACGAGAGCCGCCCCTCGCCGTCGATGAAGAGGCTGTGTTGTTCGCCTGCCGCCAGCCTCGCCGGCGGGTTGGACTCGCGCAGCAAGGCATAGTAGCACAGCCACCGCACAGCGCAGCTCTCTCCCTCTGGCTGCGCCGGCGGCTCGTAGCCGGCCTCTTGCAGGCGCAAGCGGATGCCCTCCAGCGCAAGCGAGGCGTGGAAGAGCAGCGAGACGGCCGCGACGCGAGCGATGTCGGCGGGGTCGCAGCGAGAGAGGGCGCGCACGAGGAGCTCCGTGGGGAGATCGAGGAGGCGGGTGGGCGGCGACGCGTCCGGCGAGGGGGCGGCGGCGGAGGCGGCGAGGCGGCGCGAGCGGCGCCGCGGGGCAGACATCGCGAGAAAAAGAATTTCCGCGCGCAGGATTTTGAACAGTGGTCTCATCCCTCCCTTGGGTTGTCTGTTTTCTTTCTTTCTTTCAGTGATGTCAAAAAGAATTATCCCTCGACCTTCCGTCCTTTCTTTCGTCGCAATTTACTCCCCAGTCACTCCCGGAGCCCTCCCTAGCCATCAACCCGCGGACCTCCACACCAAACCCGTCCCCCCACGAGAACGAGCCGCCCGGGGTGGAGCGCCGCCACCTGCCGGGCCTCGCGCACCTCCCACAGACACACCCCTCCCACGAAGAAGAGTAGGACCGCGGAGTGCTCCGCCGCGTGCCGCCTCGCCCCCGCCAGCCTCGCGCGCGCGCGGGAGAGGAGCCCCCCCGCCGCCTCGGCCGGCGAGACGCGCACCAGCCCGCGAGGCTCCTCGCCGGCCAGCACCCGCTCGAGCAGCCGCCGCGCGACGGGCTGGTACACGTCCCCCTCCGCCTGCAGGGGCGGGGTTCGATGCCGCGGCCCCTGGACGCTGGAGACGCGCCATCACAGAGGTGGGTCACTCTTTCGCCGCCCCCGCGCTCAGATCAAGTGCTGCTACCCACGGTCCGAATGCGAGGCGCGGCCCAACTTACCCTGCGCGATGGCTCCAGTGCCAGAGATGGGCCTCCCAGAGCACACATGCCCCGATTGGGAGCCGGAGCCGGAGCCGGAGTCGGAGCCGGAGCCGTACGGGCGCATGCTTTTTGCGCCGGACGGCCATGCGGAGCTCGGCCGCGTCGAAGACCGCCACACGGTGTGCGCCGACACGCCGGACGAGCTCCTCGCACCTGTCGCGGAGACCCTCGGGCTCCCCGCTGCCACTTGCGCCGAGCTCCTTCTCGAAGGCGCGTGCAAGCTCCGTGAGGTCAAGGACGTGTGCGCCAAAACGTGTGAGGCGTGCAAGAAAGACAGGGAGGCAAGCTTGGGGTAGACATGAAGTGCACCGGTTCTGATGGACCTTTGGCCAGCTTGGGGTAGACATGAAGTGCACCGGTTCTGATGGACCCTTGCGAGAGGTGGCGAGCGGAGCAAGAGCGGTGACCGGTGTACGGGGCTCCTCGCCACTTTGCTGCTATTTGACCTCAACTCGCGGCCCGCCGCGCGGCTCTCCGAGCGCGAGAGGAGTCGTCTACGAGGCGGCGGCGAGCGCAGGCGGCGGCGACGCGGCGGCGCGGCGGCGGATCGCGGCGCTGACAACGGCAGCAATCTGCGGCAGGCTGCTACTTGCTGCAGCAGCTGTTGCTGCTGCTGCTGCTCCGCTGCTGCTGATTGTGGATACCCATACCTCCGATCACCCCGCCCGCCCGCCCCGCCCCGCCCGCCCGCCTCTCCCCGCTTGCCCGCCCGCCCGCCCGCCCGCCCGCCCGCCCGCCCGCCCGACCGACCGACCGACCGACCGACCACCCATTCCCATCACCATCTCACATACCTACAATAGGCGCTCTCGAGAGCTCCATTCGCGGCCTACTCGCTGCCTCGAGGGAGGAGGGGAAGAGGACGGGCGTGCTTGCGCGCCTGGCGCGAGGCCCCCCCCCGAAAGGCAAGTATTAGACCCATGAAACCGAGACCCATCCCCACCGCCCCGACCCCCCCACCCCCTTGCTCCCCTCCCCCCCTCGGGAGGGCCGAACTGAGGCGCCCGTGGGGACCCCGCAATTCCCTTCCCCCCTGGGAGGGCCGGACTGAGGCGTCGAGGGCCCCGCTCTTTCCCTCGCATAGCGGCCACTCTTCGGATCGCTGGTCGAGCGACCCGGGGGATGCCCCGCGCGCCTGACCCAGGCGCGAAAACGAATCTGCGAGGCGTGGCCGCTCACGCGGCCCGATGGGGAGGAACGGGGCGGACTACGGGGATCGGCTTCTTACACAGCCCTTCCCTGCAGCGAGCCCCCCTCCAACCCACCCGCGCTAGGTCCCGGGGGACGCAGGGGTCAGCCCCGCGCGACCTCGGGAACTAGCCGGGGCAGTCGGAGAAGGGGCAACTCCGCGCACTGACGGTCGGCCGCCAGAAAACACGCCTGCGAGCGAGCGGCGTGCGTGCGTGCGTGCGTGCGTGCAGAGCGGGCGGTGGGGCGATGGAAGTGAGGGCGTCGGCATGGGCGGTGGTGGTGAGAGCGGCGGTGAGGAAGGTGGTGGTGGCGAGGCCGGAGGGCAGCAGCCGCTGCCGCTGCTGCTGCTGCTGCCGCTGCTGCCGCCACCGCCGCCGCCGCCGCCCCCGCTGCTGCTGTTGCGGCACCTCGCATGCGCCACCAGAGCGGCTCAGGAAAACGCAGCGAGCTGCGTTGACAGCCCAATTCCTGAGCAGCTCTGTTCCCCTGCCGCCTACCCGCTCAATGTCACCATTGTAAAATGTGAAAGGGGGTAAGGTAAAGGGGGGGGGCAGTACCACAATGAGACGGGGGTACACCTACCGAACGATACCGGGATGGCTCTCCGGTACCGGCGTGATACCCGGGCGACATCTCCCCCGCCAATGGTAATGGAATGGGCATGATGAGGATGAGCATGATGGGTGACCACTCAGTGGGCACATGGATGTATGGGCCGAAAATGACGATGGGGGCCGAGCCCGCTCCCCTGGGACCACGCCGAAATTTCCCGAGGCCTCAAGCACGGGATGAGCATGACGAAAATGCAAGGAGTGAGCCGATGAGAATGAAATGCGCAACGATGAAAATGATGATGGGGGCCGAGCCCGATGAAGAGTGAGCCCTGAGTGAGCACTGATGGCACACGCGCATGCGTGTGCGTGTACAGCGCGTTCACGTGCGCGAATGGGCACCGCGAATGGGCAACTATCTTGCATGAGTGCGCCGCGCCCGGCCCGTCCCCGGGCCTAGCGACCCAGCAGGCTCGCGGCGCACGCAAGCCGGCCGCTCACCTGTGGGGAGACACCATACAGGCTCACCTAGCGTGGGTGTGGTGGCAGTCATGCCACGACACGGAGACACCAACACCATGTGGGCGCCCAAATCTGTTGTCTGATGCACCAAGCGTGCACCCAAGCGTGTAGGAAGCAGCCATCGTAATCTGTATACCAACCATTGCACCGGCCCAGACCAGCTGGAGGCGGTGCTCCAAGGTGCCGGACGAGCGGCACACGCCGCGTTGCAATAGCTGTCGGACTTGACGCGCTCGGTACGACGCCTGCGACCCGTCTCGGGTCAGGTGGCACGACGCTCATCGCGCCTACCAGCGCTGCCGTACAGGTTGCCACGACGAGGTCGAGCACGCTTCTATACGCTCGCCCAGCCTTCCTTTCCATCCCATAAGGTAGCCTGGGAACGGTGGCGGTCAGAGGCAAAGCCTACGAGGGGTGGTGGAACCACATGTCACGGCTACCGCCGGCTCGAGCCTCGACCCCACGATAGCCTCCGAAGGCTGACTTTGCGGCACCATCATCGACGATGTCGACGAGTTGGGTCGCTCTCGCGGTAGCCAGATGACCTCTCATAGAGTACTTTAGCATCATCGGCCATGGCCGCAGGGAGCGCGGGGGAGCGGGGCGCTGGGAGCAACACTTGACCCTCGCCGTATAAGAAACTCTCACACACCTAATAAAGTAACCTCCAAACGAGCTCTCTCTCGACTAACTCCCCTCTCTTTCGGCTCCACCTGGCCTGCCGGATTGCTGGGGACAGCCCCGATGCCGAACCGAGATCGCGCGGTGTGCAGTGCACGGCGCGCTCCCCCAAGCTCCCTCCACATGCGCATGGCCCAAGAATGTGGCGCCTCCGGCGGGGCGCTGCAGTTGGCCGAAGCCACCCCGAAACCACCCCGAGTTCCGTCAAGCGCCACCGCCGCCCCTCCAGCCCTGCGCGCCGCCGCTGCAAGGTGGCGGAGAGGCGACGGGCGCGACGCCCCGCCCACCCACCGCCCGCCATTGGCCCACGAAGGCATGAACGCGTCCATGAACGCGTCCATGAGCGCGTCCATGAGCGCGTCCGTCAACACACGCGTCCGTGGCGTGCGGTGACGTGTCCGGCGGCGGTGCTCAGAAGGCGGCGAGGGCGGCGAGCGCGGCCTGCACCTCGTGGATGGCGGCGGGCGCGCCCCGGAAGAGGCGGAGCCGCGCCGAGCGCGGGAAGGAGAAGGAGGCGGTGCAGTCGGCGTCGCCCACGTTGCAGACGTAGAGCTCGAAGGCGCCGGCAGAGGCGGCCTCGGCGGCGCGGAGTTCCGCGCCCCCCAAGCCCTCGTCGTCTAACGGCTCGAGCTTCAACGCGGACATCTGACTCCACTCGCTCGACCTGCTGACGCCGGTTGACATACATCGACGGATCTGCCTCAGCGAAGCTTCCAACTCTCCTTTCCGGAGAGGCGCTCATCACTACCATAACGGTGCTCTACCCCCGAAGGAGGGGTAGGCGCACCTCTCTATTACACAATGAGTGAGTGTGGGCCGGGGAGGGAGACGAGCGAGGTGTGTACCTTTTGATGATTGTACACTACCCCCAGGCAGCCAAAAGTGCGGTCGACACGGCTCTATACGTGAGCGTGAGGGGGGAGTCTCTTGGAGTTGTTTGCCCAGCCTTGACTTCTGACCTACAAAGAGTAAGAGAACCCACGTACGGAAACGAAAACACATCCAAACCAACACCACAACCGAGACAGACACCTGCTCTCGAAACATTCTAAGATGACGACTCCCCGCTCAAGTAGTAGAGCCACTGGCAGGGCTCGCTCCCTGGCACCGTCGCCGAGATGGTGAGCTTGCCCTTGGCGGACGTGGGCTGGCCCTCCTCAGGCTTGAAAGCCACCGCCACCGAGATCGACTTCTTCCCGTGGCCGGGCCCCGCAGCCGCGACAGACCACGCAAAGTCCATCGCGACGGGGCCCGTGTTGGCGAGCGGGAAGGAGAAGGTGCGAGTCTGAAACATCATCGTTGGCTTGAAGTTGACGGAGCTCGTCTCGCTCTCCAGCCATCCGTGCGCGCACCGCGCCGTCGCAAACACCTTGGGCCGCGCCGTCATGTCATCGCCCTCGCCATCCGTGAGCGCCTCATACGCTGGCTCCGGGTCCACCTTGACGACCCGGTGTCGCTTCGCGGGACTTGCAGCCTCCTCGCTGCGCTGCGCCGCCTCGCCGTCCGCGCCTTCAGGTGGCTCCACCTCCGCCTCGTCTCCGTCCTCGTCCGCCGCGGGTGGCGGCGGCACCGGCTTGCCCTGGTTCTTCGGGTCGGCGTTCCACGCTCGAATACGCTCGTTCTCTGCCCTTACCGCAGCCGCAGCCTTTGCCGCCACGGCCTCATCGCGCTGCCAGAGACGGTACTCTGCGTCCGTGAGCCACTGCGCCGTCGTCATCGAGTCGTCCCAGTCGGCGGGCGTCTCAGCCTGTGTGTAGCGGACCTTGGTCAGCTGGAGGGCAACTTCGGCCGCATCGTGCTCGAGCGGCTCCGCGGAGAGGAAGGTCGCCACTACCTGCTTGGCCGCGCCGGGGAGGAGATGGCCCACGCCCGGTGCGAAGGTCAGCCCCGGCAGGCTCTCCCACTCGAATCGGTACGGCGTCGACGAGTAGTTGTGGAGCGTGAAGTTTATGGACTTGGCGAGGCCAACCCCGACGTCCGAATAGTTGAGCGCATCTCCCTCGGCGTCGCCGTTCATCAAGCCTTCGACCGCCACGTCCTGGACGAACGCCTCGCCGCTGAGCTGGACCTGCGTCGCATCAAACGCGTTGTCGACCACCGAGAGGGAGAGTGCGCCCTTAAAGTCGCCCGCCTCGGAGGGTTGAAAGGTGACCTCCACCATCCGGATCTCATTGGGCGGAAGCGACATTGGCTCCTCGACCGCTTCGCACAGAAACTGGCCGTCCGACTGCATGGCCAGCGAAAAGCTAGCGGGCAGGATGCCTGCGTTGTGCAGCCGCACTTGCCGCCGAATAGCGCGCCCAACCATCACACGAGCAAACTGGAGCTGCGGCTGTCCCTCTCCTGGCGTGGACGATGGGACGCTCGCGACGACGTGCGGCAGGGTCCCCTCGCCAAGGAGGTCCACCGCGAGGAGCCGTGTGGCGGGGTCTGTGCCGTGCTCGACCTCCGCCTCAAACACTCCGGTGTGCGTCGCCATCGCGTGCGGATTGAAGAAGAGCGTGACGTACCGGTGCTCGTGCGGTGGGATGACGCACCGCTTGGGCTCCACCTCAAATGCGAGAGGCGCCCCCTGCGCGGCCTCCTGCCCCCGGGTCCGCAGGTCGACGGTGCACGACACGCGAAAGGGGTTGACGATCTTGAGCCGCTCCGACAGCTCGTGCCCAACCTGCGGGCCGTGAGTGGTGGCGGTAGAGACGCGAACTCGAGGGAGCATGCGACCCTCGAGACGGCCTGTGTCGACTCTTGACATGTGTGGAGGCAGGGTCCGAGCTGCTAAAGCCCAGCGCATCCACTGCACGCCGTGGGCTCGCTGCGGAGTGTGACGGTACCAAGGTAAGCATCTACAGCGCCTCGCCATGTGCGAGCCGAAGCAAAAGATGCGCTCCTCCTCACCAAACACGTTTTGCGGGAGGCCGGACGCGCCAAAATCGCCGCGACGCTGCACGGCCTGCTCCTCAAAGATGCTGGCGTAGTCGTCCGTTGCGATGCCGGGGACACACGACTCGCCGAGCAGCTCGTACTGCAGCCCCTCCGGGTCCTCCTCGGGGCTTCGGTCCGTCACGTCGACGACAAACGCGGAGGCGCAAGACTCCGCCTCCGTGCCGGCCACAAACTTGGCTGTGATTACCGCCACGCCTCCCGCCGCGACCACTCCGCTTGCGGGGGAGACGGTGAAGCTACCAAGGGTGAGCTCAGCCCGTGACGTGTCGTCCTCTGACGGCTCCTCGCCGCTAGCACGCAAGCAGTATGCAAACTCGAACTCGCCTGTGTTGGAGAGCTCGAGTGTGCGCTCCTTCTCCGCGCCATACATCAGCGGCCCAAAGTTGATCCCTCGCGGCACCACCGCGTACCGCGAGAAGCGCACCCGCGCGCTGACCTTGACTGGCGCGCCGAGCCACTTGAGCGTCTCGCCTAATCTCGGGTAATCTCGGGTAATCTCGGGTAATCTCTGGCGCCGCGGTCCGCAAGAGCATCTCGCCCGTCGAGAGCTCGGTGAATTGGATGCGCATGTCGGAGTTGCGCAGCAAGGTGAGCTCCTCCGTCGCCTGGAGCGTAAACTCGACCCGCTGCCGCTCGCCGCCCGGTGCGAGCACTCCCTCCGAGGGCGAAATGGCGAGGATGTCCCTGAGTGGCTGCTTGCGGCAGAGCACCTTGTAGCCGACGTCGTACTTCCCGCCGTTGACCAGCTCGAGGGCGCTCTCCTGCTTGTCCGCCACCTTGAAGGCTCCGAAGTCGAGCCCTTCAAACTGGTCGTCCGGCCAGGCAATGTCGACGTCGATGGCATACGCCTCGGCCGACACGTGAACGGAGTGCCTCTGCACGGCGCCGAGCTCCGCCGCCGCATCCATCACCTCAATGGCAAGGGTCTGCTCGACCTCCTTGGCCTCGCGGGCGTGGAAGGTCACCTGGACGTCGCAAGAGGCGCCGGGGGCGATGGTGCCTGACGTCGGCTCGATGGTGAAGTCCTCGCAGCCCGCCTCGTTCCCGTCGCCGGTGAGGGCGGCCAGGCTCTCAGCAGAGACCTCCCACCGCACAGGAAGCCCTCGCTGGGAGATTGGGGGTGCGCGTTCGCCAGGTGTATTCTTTTTTTGCTGCCCTCATCACGGGGTAGGTAGGGTAGGTCTGGGCCCTCCCGTCGGGGTTTTCCCTCTCTTCACGCTGGAATTTTCACGGCAGAAAAAGAAATTTTCCGGAAAAATCACGATGTCAAACGTCCCCAAATGGGTGATCTGATGCTTGTAGGGCCTGAGAGTGGCCTGCCATGTCACAGGAAGGACTGTGGTTGCAGGAGAGTACCACCACCCATCACTTTAGTTGGTATAGTACCCCACCTTCACCCATACTGTGATTTCTTTTTTAGTTTCCCATAAGTAGGGTAGGTAGGTAGGGAGGGAGGGAGGGGCAGGGCAGGGGCCGGCCGGGTTTTTGCAGAAAAAGAAAGAAAGAAAACAGACAACCAAAGGGAGGGATGGGAGGACGGCACGCCGCCACCACACAGGGATTTTAAGGAGAGGTGTGTGGTGCGCTATCCGTCGCCCACCCTAGGGAGTCTGCCTCTTCCTATCTCTCTTCGCAGTCTCTCGCCGATTCTCGCTGCAACCTTCATGCCACCTCGCGGTCGTCCCACCCTCGTCGTTTTTGCAGAAGTTCATGATTTTGCAAAAAAGAATACTTTTGCGCGCCCACCAGGGAAGGGCCGTGTAACCCTCCCCGGAGTCACAAGGGCACACGCCCCCAGCCCGCAATGCCTACCGGGTCGGGCATCATCGATGCCAACGCGACCGCCGCAACCCTCCTCGGCCGCGACGGCGCGGCGACGGCCTCTAACGCCCCGCCGGCGGCTCGCTTCTGTTGGAGGGGAGAACTGCTGCCAATAGAAGCCGGATCGTGTTCTGGTTGGAATCCCGAGGTCGAGTGCACCAAATGTGAGTCGCGGCAAGGCGTCCCGCCTCCCTCCTTCCCACCGCCAGATGCAGCACTGCAGCAGCCAGGGCCACCTATGCCGCCTGCGTCGCGACCGCCCTCTTTGCCAATCTCGGTGGCTCAAGATCCGGTAGATGTGCCGCCGAACCGCACCGAGCCGTCGCAGACCAGCCTGCCACCGCAGGCATTAGTGGCTGCTGCTGGATTGCCACCGCCGCCACCGCAGCTGCCGCCGCCACCGCAGCAGCTTCCGCCGGAGCCGCCGCCTGAGCGACCGCAGTCAACAATAATGCTGCCACCACCGCCGCTCTCGCCGCCGCCACCGCCACCGCCGAAATCGCCACCTCTCTCACCTCCGCTGACGCCGCTGCCAGCACTCACGCCGACTTCACCACCACCAACGTACCCACCAGAAGATGTCCCGCGATCACCGCCGCCGCTGCCGCCGTTATCGCCGCCGCTGCCGCCACCGCTGCCGCTGCCGGCCTCGCCGCTGCCGGCCTCGCCGCTGCCACCCATGCCGCCGTCGCCGTTGTCGCCACCACCTTCGCCACCGCCTCCGTCTGCATTGCCAACGTTGCCGCCGCTGCTTCCTCCGCCGCTGCCAACGTTGCCGCCGCTGCTTCCTCCGCTGCTGCCGCCGCCGCCGCCGCCACCACTGCCACCGCTGCTATCGCCGCCGCCACCACCGTCCGCTCCACCCAGCCTCCAGGTGAGGACGCGCCCGCCTGGGCAAAAGCCGTGGCAAAAGAGGCCGCCCGGGCAAAAGAGGTCTCCGCGGGAGGGATCCTCGCCGCCGCCGCCGCCGCCGCTGCCTCCGCCGCTGCTGCCGCCGCCTTTGCCGCCGCCACGGCCACCTTTGCCGCCTCCGCCGCCGCTGCCTCGAGACGCGGACTTGGCGGGCACCGGGGCGCCGGAGATGGAGGCTCCGCCCGAGCAGGTTGCGCCGCCGCTGGCGGAGCCGTCTCCGGCACCGCTGCCTTTGGCGGACGGCCCGTTGGCAGGCGAGCCTTCGGCGGAGGAGCTCCTGCCCGCGCCGCAGGGAGGCGCGAGCTCGCGCCTCGCCTCGCCAAACGAGACGGTCGCTCGGCGCCCGGAGGCAGGCTCGCCCCTCTCGCGCGCGGGCCGCCTCGCGCCTCTGGAGCTGCCCCTTCCCGCCCTCGCCGCCCTCGCCGCCCTCGCCGCCCTCGCCGCCGCCTTGCTCGTGCGCCTCTGCTGCCGCCGCTGCCGCTGCTGCCGCCGGCGGGGCGGCGCCTGGCCGTCGGATGGCGAGGAGTACGCGGTTCAGATCCCAGAGGGGCCGGTCCTCGAGATGACGGACTTGGACGCCGCTTGCGAGCTCGCCGACACGTGCGGGGCCGCGACGCCAGGCCGCCGGCCGACGGTCCGCGTCGGCGACGACGGCATGCACGGCATGCACCGCGCGCCCGTCAAGTTCAAGTCAATCTACGAGGAGATCTCGGACCCGAACAACCTCTCGGACTGCTCGGCCGAGAGCGCCGACTTCGAGTCCGCCTTTGACGCCGGCGCGGGCGGCGCGGTGCTCTCTGCGAGCGGCGGCCGGAGCAGCAGGAGGCTCCCGCGCAGCGCGCGGGGCGGGGCGTGGGCAAAGAGGCAGGCAAAGGGGGGCGAGAAGTTCGAGAAGAGCTCGCTTCTCAACGACATGGACGTTCTTGTCCTGTGAGCTCCGGCCTCTCCTCCGTCGTCCATCGCCGCACTCTCAACAGACGAGCAGAGACGCATGACTGCACATCTGCACACCGCAGCACCACGGTGCCCAACAGGCTGGGTCTTGAGGTTGAGCGCCTGAGGCTCTCACGGCTGAGCGGAGGCGCTGTCATTGAGAGATCTCGCATTTTCGGTCGTAGCGCGAGGGAGACCCTAGCGTGTGCCATCATCAATCTATTTTTCAATCGTCGCAAGTCGTACACGTGCCACGTCGCACACACAGACGTCTCGCTACACAGTCTCGGCTCTCGCTGGACGTGCCGCTGCCGGGTCTCTCGCTCTTCCCCCCCCCCCCCCCCTCTCTCGCTCTCGCTCTCTCTCTCTCTCTCTCTCTCTCTCTCTCAACTCTTCGGGGCCGCCGTGGGGTCGAAGAAGTGCAGCTCTTTAAGGGGAGGAGAAGGCTATGCCGTCGGCATTCCGTAGCCGCGACCCTCAGAGAGGCGCACACATCGTAACCTTTACAGCTTCGCGGAAGAAGGAGGCAGGTTGTCGAGCATATTTTTGAGACCCAAGGAAAGAAAGAGCGACGTCACTGTCTACCATTGTGGCAGAACACATTGATTGCCCGACATGCATAGGGCCATAGCTGGAGAGGGGGGACGACACTGCTTCAGCAGCGTGCACCTCGATCCTGGACCGTGTTTGTTTGACCCCCCCCCCCCCCCCCAATGAGCAATGAACACACCAGCGAGGGAGGGCGAGACGATCGAGGGGTCCCGTACCATGCGGAATCGACCCTATCCCAGTGCTCAGTGCTACGTTCGTACTTTTAGCTTACTCGGAGAAAAGGGAGAGGGGGTTGTGTTCTCTAGGCCCCTAAGGGCCCTACGCGCGGCGTGAGCTCTCTCTCTCTCTCTCTCTCTCTCTCTCTCTCTCTCTCTCTCTCTCTCTCTCTCTCTCTCTCTCTCAGTGCTAGCTCTGAGGGAGGGTGTAGAGGATGTAGATAGAGAGAGTGTAGAGCGCTGTAGAGATGTAGAGATGTAGAGATGTAGAGCGCTCTGGAGCGCTGTAGAGCTGTAGAGCTCTACATCCGGCGCGTGACGATGTGAGTCCGATGTGGAGCGATGTAGAGGCGCGCTACAACGTGAAATCTCTACAACAAACTCTACATCATATGAGCGTCATCTTGTAGTGAACAGGCCGAGTTCGCGGTTTGAGCGCCCAGCGCAGACCGACCGACCGCAGGGGGGGTCCCCGGTCGGCGGCCGCGGAAGACCGCAAACCGGAGGGGGGGTCCGGTCGGTCGGAGCGCAGACCGAGGGGGGGGGTCGGTCGGGTTGGCTCGAGGGTCACACCGCACACGCTCGCCGCAGCTGTGAATAATTTCGCGTTCCTAGAGACACCAAGCGCCCTCTCCCCGTCTAATCACTCCTTACGCCAGCCTCGTGGCACCCGACACGACACCGGCCCTCGCGCCTCGACGCAACACGCACGACATGATACCGTCACGGTAGTCCGGGCAAGAGCGGTCGCGACACGACGCTCACCCGCAGCGTCGCCCCGCCCGGCAGGCGGCGAACCGCTGACGAGCCCGGAGCACCAGTCTCCCTCGCCACCGCCGAGGACGGCATGACGGCCCCGACGCCGAGGACGGCTACGACCAGTCCGGCAGCCAGCCTGACGACTCCGAGTCGGGCGACTGCGACACCGACAGCGCTCGCGACGACTCCACGAGCAAGCAGACCGGAGTCCCCCGGTGCCGCTTCTTCGCTGCCGGCTATTGCAGGCAGGGAGACAAGTGCCGCTTCGCGCACTGAGCCGCCCCATCCCCGAGCTCGGAGGGCGAGACCGAATAGGACCGTCACTCACTCAATTTGGGGATCCTTCACGCGCTGCGCTACGCTTGGAGTCGCTCACCCCGGGATCGCTCCTTCCCTCGCTCCGGTGATTGGGGAAACTCTGAGCTCCCTCCGCGTACGCTACGCTCTCTTCGGAGAGAGCCCCAGAGTCTTACCGCGCTCCGGATCCTCTTTAGCCCATCTCTGAGAGTTAGAGTGACTGGCTAGAGACGACGACGACGATACAGTTCATGATAAACAAACTTCAGTTTGTGCTAGTGAACTGAGGAGAAGCGGGTCGAGCCTCGGCGCAGAGGGCAGCGCCTAGCGGGCGGGAACCCTTACCCCCGCGCCCGCCGCTGCCCGCCGCTTTGTGCGCGGGACCTCCGAGCGCCACGAGGCTCTTGACACAGCTCCCGACTAGCGTCGGCTCCTGCTCAGACAGGCGCCAATCGACCAGTTCTCAAGCGACCCACCACCATCCCTCATCTACCGCCCGATCGAATCGCATTCGTCTCTTGCGAGTTCCTCTTGCTCCAAGAGGTTCCAGAGAACGGGGAAACTCTGAGCTCCCTCCGCGTACGCTACGCTCCCTTCGGAGAGAGCCCCAGAGTCTTACCGCGCTCCGGATCCTCTTTAGCCCATCTCTGAGAGTTAGAGTGACTGGCTAGAGACGACGACGACGATACAGTTCAGGTTCTTCCCTTCCGTGATTCGTTCGACTCGTGAATTGCCTCCTCGGGCCCGAGGGCAGCCCCAACTGAAGTAGGGAAATTTGGATTTTGGTCCCACTAAAAAGCACTCTATCTGTGAGTCGTCTCGTGCACGGTGTACAGCAGGCGCCAGGGCCAGCGCCAACCATAGGAAATCTCCCCTGTCTTTTCGTGCTCGACACTTTCTCTATACCTGCCGGTGCCGTGTCGCCGCCGTGTGTGTTTTTCACGCTACTCTTGTGGAGCGAGTTTGTGGCCTCGTGGGTACCACGTCACCGTATAACGTGTATATCCGCTCCTGCGACCTCGAGCGACCTGGTGCCATGTGCATGTGCATGTCAGACTGACGGGCGTGACGGCCTCTCGCGTCGAGGCTCTCGCCTCGACGCGCTTTCGTACGCACAAAGCCAGAGGTAGTGACTAACAACAGACGCACGCTTCAGTCGATGGGAATGGCAGTCGGCGCGGACCCCGCCCCTCCTCCGGAGGCGCTGCGGTTGGCGGGTCCACACCGCTTCACGTGTCGCTCCCTTCTCAAGGGTCCGAGGCTAGACAGGTCCTGGCCGCAGTTGAGACACCGGCCGTCCGAGCCTGTGGAAGATGGTTCGGTGGCCGGCAATGCTGTGGGAAGCGCGGCCAGGGCTGGAGCTGCTGCCCGAGGAGGCGAGGCCGGCGGCTGCGGCTTTGACGGCGGCTGCGCCGGAGATGGCGCCGACGGCGCTGGCGTCGCTGGCGCAGGCGATGCCACGGGTACGTCGATGAGCGGCACCTTGCCAGCCAGGAGGTCTGCGAGCGACACTTTTGGCAGCTCCACCTCGCCTGAAAACTGGTGCGCATCGGCCGTCGATTCGTCATCCGTTCGCGGGCGCTTGCTGGAGCCGCTGGTGGTCTTGTGGGCACCCTTGGTATCTGACAGCATCGAGCACCTTTGGGTGTGCCGCGTGCCCACACTTGGCGCCGACGGAGGCTGCCCGCAACGCGGCTGGGCGGGGCAATCCCTCCCCTCTAGAATTCTTACGGTACAAGCCTCTCTCACAGCACACTGGCACGACAAGGGCGCGGACTGGCGCGGACTGGCACACACACCGGCTCACTCTAGAAATACCTGGGCTCGTGTGCCCTGGCCTACTCGAGTACCCGGCATGAAGAGGCTGAGGTGCGTAGGTGTCCGAGGAGGCCACCGGCCAAAAGCGCATGTCTTGAAGGTCCGATACTGGAAGCCCATATAGGCACCTTACACTCCCCCGCAGTATCGCACCTCTTGAGCGACACTACGTCTCCGCAGCTGGGGATTCTCCGGGTACCCCTCTTTTGTACCCGTGCTGGCCGGATTCCTCCTCCGAACAACTCAAGTTCGATCGGCCCCAGTCTCGAACTGGCAGCCACTATCTCACCGGAGGTACCATGTAGGAATCCCACCTCCGCGCGCTGTGCGCTCGTCGCTACCGTACTGTGCTGTATGAATGGTTGGGCAAGTGTGAACAACACCTCGTGACCACGGCGCCGCAGGCGCCTGTTGATGGGTCCAGGTGATAGCCCCGGATGAGCAATGCATACGCCTAGTTGGGCCTCAGATCGCCCGACCGCGTCCCGGTGCTCTGTGGTCGGATTTGTGACGCCGCCGCACCGCGCCGCGGCCGGGGGCCCTCCGGAGGCCGAGGATGGCCGTGGCGGACCGGGACGAGCTCTGGGAGGTGGAGTGTCAGTGAGTATATTGTAGAGACCAACCATGTGCACAATATCTCTCAGTCTAGCTAAGCCTGGGAAGGCGATGCCGGGGCCGTACAGCAGCTTGATGGTGCTTCGCCGGCGTGCGTCCCGGAGCGGTGCCGGACGGGCGGTCCGTGGGAGGAAAACGAGGGACAGCGCCGACGGCGCTCTGATTCGACTTTTTACTTCAAACAAAGACAGTCGCACGCGCCGCAGCGCGGCGCGTGCGACTGTCAGGAGCGGATCCGTCAGTTAGTCGTGTTCACGCCGGGATCGTGTCCCTCACAACTTGCCCAACCATTCATACAGCACAGTATGAAAGGTTGAGGTGCGTAGGGATCCAAGAGTGCATGCTTCTGTGGACACACAATATCGAGAAGAAAATCGGTTGGGAGGCTGTGAACCTCCCCAGGGCCTCCAGGGCTCGCACCTTAACCTCTCATAGACCAGCGCGCAGCGCCACGGCGTATTTCTTCTCAATAACACGGCGTGAATTTCCGTAGGGATCCTTTCGCGCGGCGGCACGCAGTCGCAGAGTCGCAGAGCCCGGCCCCGTCTCGCTCTCGCGCGCGTCGCACGCACGCGCGCGACGTGACATGTCCCCTCAAAAGATCCTCCCTCGTACAGCGAACGACGCCGACCCGTCCTCGAAGTCGCACACACAAAAAAAACCCCTCCCCCCATCGGCACCAGTCCGTTGGCAACCATCGCCAGGTAGAGCACCACCAGCTTCGGTTGGATAGGAATCGCCTTCCCTCCGCTCCCAATCCAAAGGCAAATTGTGCCGCCAGCCGCACGACGGATAGAAGCACTGCACAAAGGTGGCAAATGTGGCCAGCCACGACACAAACTGCGGGTAGTTCGACCTCGCCTTCGACGAGATGGCCAGCATGCCCTGCTTCAACGCCACGTCATTCACCAGCCCCGCGTGCGCGTCCGTCACCGTGAGTCCGTCGGCGCCGTCCTTCTTGTACATCTCGATTGCCGACGCCGCCATCTCCAGGCCCTCCACAACCTGCGCGGCAGTGCCCGCGCCGGTCTGGGGCTTCCGCTGCTCGCGCCGCTGCACCATCTGCCAATCTTTGCCCCCGCGTCGAGAATCGAAGATGCTCGCGTACATGGCGGTGGTGCCCTTCACCGGCGCTCCCGCGACCTCGTTCGCCCTGATGGCCGCCTCGTCGAAGGCTCCCCGCTCCTTCGCGGCCTGCTGCGCCCGCACCACCTCCATCGCGTTCGCCGTCTGCGAGTTGAGCTTCGCCACCTTCGCCTTCCTCTCCCGCCCCGCCGCCGCCTCCCGGTCCTCGCGGCGGTCCGCCAGTGGGTCGTCGCCGGCGTCGTCAGCCACGATCATGGCCGTGACGGCCTCGCCCGCCATATGTCGATTCTCGGCCTGTCGATCGCGCGTCCCAAAAGTCGCCAAAAGTGGCGGCGAGTCGCAAATCCCGCCCGCCGTCCCGGCGGTCCCGCAGCTCGCGCGCACATCCCCCTCTTAAAACCCACCTCTAACATCTCTATAAGGGATCCCTAGTGCGAGCCCTGGAGGCCCTGGGGATGGGGGGACTTCACAGATAGGTTGATAAAAAACAAGAAGTCCAAATCGTGAGAGGCGGACCTAAGGAAGGTCCTACATCTCTTCACATCCTCTCTGCGGAAAGAGAACGCTATGTTGTTTTCTTTGTTTTTTCACATCGGCTCCCAGAACACTTCGTCATCAGCTCATCGACGCCTTGTGCGCGCGCGCTCACTCGACACCCTTCCCATCGGTTTGATGGGTGAGCTGGGTTCTGCCAATGGAGAGAAGCTGCTCCACCTGCGCTGCGGAGTGCACCTCAGCCAGCGCCGCGAAGACACGCTCCTGCATCACGCGGGTCTCGCAGAGGCAGGTGGTCCCGTGCACCATGCAGCCCTTCCCGCAACCGACGCTTGTTGTCGGGAACGGGAGAGTCGAAGAGCTGCCATCCCAGCGCACGCGGAATGTGTGGGCCGAATCGAGCCGCTTGAACGGCGAGCCTGACTCGACATGGACGATGTTGACTTCGCCGTCTTGTCGGACCTGAACCTGCACGGTGCAACTTGCCGCCGTCCAGCTGTGCCAATGCGTAGAGTCGCACTGGTCATACGCGAGCGCGCGGCCGTGCACGATTGAGCGCCGAGCAGCTGGAGGCTCGTGCGGAAGCGGCGGCCCGCCAACTGAGCACAAGCCACCCAAGCTGTAGTCGGCGCAGCGCTTGACCGCCGTGGCAAATGGCACCATCTCGGCGAGGTATTCGCACTGCTCCGTCGAAGTCTCCCCGTCACAGCAGTTGACCGCGGCGGAAGCTGTGGCAGGGTCAGCACAGACCGTCGTCGCGCTCGCAGGCGACACGTGCGCCGAGGCGAGGTACACTTGCTTGGCGTCGTTGTAGAAGGTGAGTGAGACGCATGGTGGCCGCACAAACTCGAAGATGGCAGCACTCCGTCCGGACTCGACGTTTACATAGCGTACGTCGTCGACGGCGCACTCTCGGCCGCTGCATGGCAAATCGGCATCCAGCATCACGTTGCTCGAGAAGCGGCAGTCACCCATCGACGTCTTTGATCCGCAAAGCAGTGCACCGAGCGCGGATGTGCTGCCATTTATCTTAAATCCCTCAGCCCACAAAGTTGTGGACCTGGCCCGAGCACGCGGTGGCGGCGGCGGTGGCGGCGGCGCTGCGCACGACATTATGACCACCGGCCGGTCGGCCTCCCTCATCACGTCGCAGGTCTCCGTGAGGCGGCACCAGTTGTTCTTCCAGAAGGAGTAGAAGCGGCACCGCGGCTCATTCTCGCACCTGGCTCTGCACCCGGCCTCGCCCGACGAGGAGAAATATTCCTGGACTGCATCGCTTGCGCAAAAGGATCGGCCGTTCCTCTGAACAGTTTCCGTGCATATCCCCCTTGCTAATGGCGGCTGGACAGCAGGTCTCAAGTACCGCCATCGCGCGCCTCGCAACAGGAAGCTGCGCGGCGGCAGATCGATGCAGAGAGGGAGCTGGTCGCCGATGTGTCCCCTGTGGAGGTCCATCTTTGGCAGCTCGTCCCGGAACGTTGCATTGATGCGCATCGGGTCGACCGAGTTCAGCGGCTCCCCTACAAGCGTGCTCGTGCGCAGCGGGGTGAGAAGATTAACATGAGCGACGGGGGCCGCTGGGCGGGGCCCCACCGTCTTGATCGCTCTCGATGTTGGAGCGCGGCTCTGCCCGCGTGAAGCCAGTCCACGCGCGCGCAAAGCTGGCTATCTCTGGCAGCTCGTACGTGGACATGAGCGCGCCTCGCGGAGAGCGCTCTGCCGTGCCGTCGGGGTTGAGCTGATACAGCCCAATTGTGAAGAGCTGCATGATTTCGCGCGCGAAGTTCTCGTCCGGCTTGTTAAAGACGAGCGAACGCGAGCCGAGCAGCGTGAGGAACTCACCCATCACCGGCGAGTATGACACCTCGCGAAGCAGGTCGCGCAGGTTGCCGAACGCGTGGCGTACAAAGATGTCGTGGTAGGTGAGCCACATCTCCTGCGCCATCGCGCGGTTATCGAGCATCAACTCGCTCGTCACGTACACCTGCGAAAGAGCCCACGCTGCGCGGTGGCGCAGCTGATCTGCAGCGTCGAGCGCCACGCTGTGGTAGATGGAGCGCTTCGCCTCCGAGGGCCCGACCGGTTGGTCGAGCTCTAAGTGCGTGGCGACCAAACTGTACTCCTCTTCCCAACGCGCGCGCCGTAATGCGAGCAAGCCGACGTTTCCGCCCGCACTGCATGGCGGGAAAATTCTCTTTTCGCCGAGGGACCTGCTCCTTGTTAAACTACACAGCAAAACTACGATGCATGGTGACGGGGCTAGTTACAAGCCCTCGAGCTCGTAGATCCGACCTCGTGGGACCTACGAGCTCGAAGCTGGTATTGCAATAAACTAGCCTCGTAACTAGCCTGGATACGACTCGGCGCAGCGACATGGGGTTTTGAGAAACGCGATAGCCTCTTCGAACGCATTCAATCTACCCAGAGTGGGGGACCTGCACTTGCCGAAATTCACACAAGACGGTGAACACACCCACAGGACGCCGAGTACAAGACAATAGGAAGGAAGTGTCCCGGGCAGTCAGGGACGGGTGAGTTCAAGAACATACTAAGAGCACCTAAAGGAGCAAGGCATAGCTGTGAAGCGGTGCCGCAGAGAATTCTCTTTTTTGTTGCTTGGGTCACGACGACATGGTCACGCCCAAGCCCAGCGCCACTCTCAGCAAGCCCAAGAAGGCTGCCAAATCGGTCAAGTCCAAGGCGCCAGCCGCCCCGGTGGCCAAGGAGGCCAAGCGCCAGCGGGCTGCCCCGCTGTCGGCAGACGCTCCCGTCAAGAAGAAGAAAAAGGGCGTGAGCAAGAAGGGCGAGGTCGCCGTCGCCGACGCGGCGGCTGCGCCCAGAAAGCGCAAGGCCACCGCCTCTGCAGCCGCCGCTCCTGCCGCCATCCCCGCCGCCAAGCGGGTCAAGAAGGCCAAGGGAGCGGCGGCGGCGGCGGCGACGGCGGCAGCGCCGGCTGCAGCGGCTGCGTCTGCGGGCGCGAGCTCGAGCGGCGGCGGCGGGAGGCCAAAGCTGGAGCAGCAGCAGGTGATCCGTGCGATCGAGGCGCTCTGCACCCACGTCGCGCGGGTCGGCGCCGCCGGCGACGACGGCGAGGGCGGCGGCTCTCTGTTGAGTGGCGACACGCCAATCAACCTGGTGAGGAAGGGACACTTCCGAGAGCCTTCCCTGCTCCCCCCTCGGCCGCCGTCCCACCTCGCGCACACTCGCGCATGCCTCATCTACGCACGGGCGCAGCCCCTCGCACGTGGCGTTAAACCGCATGCCACAGCAGCCGCCGCTCTTCAGCAGACCGCGCCGCGGCTCCGCCCTCCCCGCGGCGCGGTTTGAGAAGGCCGCTCACCAGCACCGCTCACCAGCACCGCTCACCAACACCGCTCACCGGCACCGCTCACCGGCACCGCTCACCGGCACCGCTCACCAACACCGCTCACCAGCACCGCTCACCAACACCGCTCACCGGCACCGCTCACCAACACCGCTCACCGGCACCGCTCACCAGCACCGCTCACCAGCACCGCTCACCGGCACCGCTCACCGGCACCGCTCACCGGCACCGCTCACCGGCACCGCTCCCACCTTGAGCCGCGCTCCGCCCCGCCCTCTCCCCAGGTGGTTGCGACCAAGCGGATGCCCAAGGCGTGCCGTGGCGCCAAGGGCGTGAAGCCCAAGCTGCTGCCTCTGCCGCATGCGTGGCGCGCTCGCCCTCCTCTCCTTTGGCCTCTGTCCCCCCCCCCCCCCCCCTCA